GAATGCATGCATGGGATTCATAAAGTTTGCAACTTTATGAATCTCCAGAGCAAAATGGTCCTAAGGTGGGCTAGATCTGGCCTTTGGTTGGGCAAGGGCACCATGAAAGGGATTTAGGGGCATATTTCCCTCTTTTTGGCCATTTTGACCTAAGGATATGTATTGAACATGCATGTCCATAAAGCCTCCATCTTTGAAACGTTTTGAGCACTAGACAACTTTCTGGAAAGGAGGGATTTCAGATCCCTAGAGTTTTGGACCCTATGGTAAAGCTTTGGAGCTTTCCAACCTTTGTTAAGGGCCTTGGAGCAATTGGAACGGTTCTAGAAGGTATAGTTGGAAACGTTATCCTTCTAGACACCTTAGGGCTTTAGATCTAAGCCCTGGAGTCCCTGGATTCGGTGAATCATCACAACAAGCAAAAGGAAGGGGGCTCAACGAGTTGCTCTAGGAACTTGACGAGTCGGGTTGAGTTTCCCCGCCATCTGAATATCAAGTGAACTCGTCAAGTTGATGAAACAACTCGGTGAGCTAGCTAGCGTTTGATTAGGTTGTCTGGACTCGGTGGGAACTTGACGAGTGGCTAGATGCGCTCGACGAGTTGTGGTCAACATGGACTGTTGAATTTGACTGATAACTTTGACTTTGACCAAGGTTGACCTTGAGGGTAAATTTTGGGATTCTGACAAGTGAGGCTTACATGCACTTGAGTCAAAGTAACACGTGGGAGATATCTGGTTCTAGCATTTTCAGTTTCAGCATTCGAGAGAGGTGAGTCTTCTCGCCATACCAATGGGTCTAAGGCACCAAGGTCGGCCTATTTTGTGTTATGTGGTACACTAGCGTTTGTAGAGGTATGTGGTATGATAGTTAGCTTTGTGCTAAATGGTATGCTAGTGATTGTATGTTATTGCATGGAAGACCCCCTGGGGGGGGGGGGAGCCAGTGGCAGTTAGATATAAGACCATGTGGGGTAACCCATGGAATGATGGTGTAAGACCCTGGGGGAGCCCACGACATCCTTACAGGTTTATGTATGTGTATGTAGTATGTTGGATACTTCTGTGATATGATACGCTAGGTTGATTATGTATGTTATTGCATGAAAACCCCTGGGGGGAGCCCGTGACAGTTGGATATAAGACCATGTTGGGTAGCCCATGACATTCCCAGGTAAAGACCATGTGAGGTAGCCCATGACACGAAGGTGTAAGACCCTGGGGGACCCCACGGAATCCTTACTAGTTTTTGTATGCATGGCTTATGTGGTATGTGTAGATTATAGCTAATGTGATATGTGTTATGTCGATTGTGTGCGGGGTATGCTCTGGGGAACTCACTAAGCATTAGCTTACAGGTTATGGATTTGTTTCAGGTACATCGGATTCCAAGGGCAAGGGCAAGGCGTGATGGCGCGACGTGCACTCTCATACAGGCGCTTTATGGATAAAGCTATATTTGATATGAGTTTGAAAACAATTATATATGAGATTTTGTAATTTATGAAAATGTGTTTTGGTCGAGGTCGTTGTCTCAGTCAAAAATAAACCTCACACACACTAGATAGCTAGGGTAAGTAAGGGTCGAATCCACGAGGAGGTTGTGGTCAAACTTTGTGTTTAAATAGTTAATGAAAAACTACTAGCAATTGTCACAAAATTATTTAAACTAAAAGTTGATGAAAAAACTAAAAACTTGGTAAGGCAAGAACTACTAAAACAAACTAATATCAATGAGAAAATAAAACAAGATACTTCCGGTTCAGTTGTTCAGATGGTTGGACTTACACATTTTTCTTCCCTTAAATTCCAATTTAATTACCTAGACATAGTTAAGGTTGATTAACTTGCAACAAATAATTTTGAGCACACAATATGTTATTCCAACTAGTTGTCTTACTCCCTATGTCAATTGGATTAGGAACAACTAGTGGTTTGGCGATAATGTGTCTTGAGATTACCTATTACAATGTTGAGTATATAATACTACAAATTCGGAATAATGTATGTGGGTTCAACTGATCATCTTAGTTCCTAAACTATTTGAATTCAGAATGACTAGTGAATTAACAATACACTATCTTAGTTGCAATATCACACAATAAGAAAAACCCAACTCCAATTACTGTAAGTAAAAATCATAACGTTAAGAATGAAACAATAACTGAAACTAACTAGAATACAAGTAATAATCAAAACGTGTTCATCCTAACATCCTACAACTTTCCCAGAAGTAACCTAGGTGGTTTAGCCTTCCATATGATTAAAAAAACACACAACTTCAATATAAATAATGGAATTAATGCTAAAATTCACAAACCAACTTGGAATCATAAATTCAATGAAGTGTAATGATCAATCAACTATGGAACGATGAAACCTTGGGGATGAAGTAATAAAATATGGAGCTTGATGGAATTGATGTAGATCTGTAGGTTGAACGATCTTCAAACGTTGAATGATAATGAATTTGATGATTTATCGCTTTGGATTTAGAAATTAATGATAAAAAACGTGTTTGGAGAAGGTTTGAACGTGTTTGGAACCCTCCAAAACTGGGGAAAATCGCAGGGGAGAGGTCCCACGTCGATTAGGGTTAAATCTCCTTTAAATAGGTGCTGAAAAAATGATTTTCAGAGCTGTTTTTCGCGTCGACGTCCTATTAGGCGTCTTAGACGTCATATAGGACGTCCAGGCGTCCTTCGGGGCATTTTACATGCCTTCTGCCGTCCTTGATTTGCACTTGAAAATGACCTAAAACGGGTAGGCGTCCTAGGGGGCGTCTTAGATGCGTTCTAGGACGTCCCTCATCTTTGTCGCTCCTTTTTGGTGATGAAAACCGTAGAATCAGTAAAAACGCAAAACATGAAAGTTGTAGGAAATTTTGTCTAGTTTCCAGAACTTCTTCGTTCATATCAATTGGAGCTCTAGATCTTAAGATATAATCAAAACATTGAAGAGTGGTCAAATTTCTCAGCACCATTTTTCTTCATTCTTTTAGCAATTCGTCTCCCATGCTTGTTAGCTTCATGTTGCTCATTTTTCTTGCGGGTTCCGCACACTTTTAGTACAATATATTGACCTGCATATGAATTGCAACAGCTCATCAAAGTAGTGTCATTCTTGGACAATTATACATCAATTCAACAAATTTGTGACAATTTAGTACATTCATAAAATAGACTTATCATGTTTGGTAAATTAAAAATGAATATTTTCCTTTGAAAAATCGGGTCGTTACAAAGGACCTAAACCATATTAGGATTTATAACCCGAATAATAGAATAACAATGTGCTTTTATACATCAACATAAAACATTCAAAGACTAACGTAATACAATAACCCATTGAAAGAATAACATTTACATAGTAGATTAACATAATGAAAATTAATTTTTTATTTGGGTTTCTTAAATTGGAGCCCAATTTTCAATGACTAGATACGGTAGGAATTCGTAAATCCTTAGAGACAATAGAATGGTTGATTTTTGAAAGTTTGAAACAAGAGGAAGGATCTATAGAAGTGATTTCGAGTTTCGAAATAGATAAGAAGATTGGTTGATTTTGAAATGACGAGAGAAGCATTGCCTTTTTTTCTATTATGAAAGATGATGACAATGACAAAAGTGTGAATCATGATTTTGATTTCTATCGATCAGAAAAATGGGAGGATGAATGCTTATTTGGGTCGGGTCTTTAGAACCGAATTAGCTCTTATTTGGGTAACCTGAACCGAATAACCCGAGAACCAAATAAACATTATATAGATACTCAAAACCCGAATTGGATTGCTTATTTGGGCTTAATTTGGTTCGGTTCAGTTCAGGTTTCGGTTTTTCGGGCCAAATTCTCATCCCTAATTGTCACCTTGGTGGTTTATCGAGTAAGACTTGGGCACTTTAGATGAAAGTCTCCAAAGGTATACCCAACAAAAATGTATGATGTAGTTATAAAAGGGAGTGCTTAGTATTATCGTCAAAAGCGTACCCTCTCCCTTAAACCTTACAATATCTGGGAGCCGCAATGGGCGATAGGGAACCAATTTTTATGTAATAATATGCATTTTTTGGAATGGTAATTTTTTTTTGAAAAAATTATATAAGATTAATGGTAAAATGTATATAAAAAAGTTTATTGGTTAAATTTGAAAAAAAAAATTAATGATATAATGTGTACATAATAAACAGTAAAATCCACATTAGTAGCCACATGACATATCACATTGTTGGCGACGCGACCTAATTTTATTTTTTGAACGAAATGTAAAGGTTAATGGTGATGCTAGTACGTTGGTTGACAATGTATATACGTAAAAAAAAAAAAAAAAAAAAAAGTTCAATGGTGATTTTTATAAAGCCTTTTATTCATAGCGATCTAACCCTGCTAACTTTACAAAGCACAGCTCATGTGTATTCATTTACTCGTCGACAAATTGATGTAGTTCATTGGATTCGGTCATCAAAATTTGATTTCATCTCGACTTGTTGACTCCGTTGAAGAAATTATCTCATGCTGGTGTTGGTTCTTGTGGACCTCAAGTGACTACCAGTTTCACCTGTATTTCCACTTTAATTACAAACTATGGTTGTTTCTCCAAAAACAATACTTGATTTACTGTTTTACTTTTACATTTAAACCCATGCTGTATAAATCATATGAAGATCTTCAAGAGAATATAATAATTAGCAGATGATAATCTGTATCGAGATAATATATGGTCATGGCGTATGTCATCGATCTTCTTCCTTTGATTACAATTTTAGCAAGAGTTTATATTAATCTTATCTTTCTTCCTGCAAATCAGATCCATAATAAAGTCGCCAACCTTTTTCGTGTATTTTATATCTTTTTCTTTATGCCCTTTCAACATTGTCAGCCTCTTCACCCATGTGCGCCTATTAACTGTTCGGTCAAATGCCCCAATGAAACTGTTAACTGTACCCAATATACAACTAGCAATAGCATTCTGCAGTCTGCATACACCAATTGATTTTTTCCCAAATTAAATAAAAATATAAAATAAGTCCAACTCATGTCATTCCTCAAAACAAGGTTAAAATCATGGAAGATTGCCATTTACAAATTACAACTATCTCCCAACTTGCACTCTACTACTCTTTGTGAATAAAAGCAAGAAAATTTGTGTTGATCCCAACATCTTTGTCTTCCTCTCTCTCTCTCTCTTTCTCTGTCTGCCCAGTCGCTATCTTTCTACACACTATTCTTTTTCTTTAGCATATGTGAATTCCAACCATTGAATAACTTTTTCATTTTATCAAGCTAAGTGGCCTTGTTTGATTTATTGTTATCATTCTTTTGTGGGTCATTTTCAGCTGACTTGGTTATCTTCGCTCATGTGTTTGTCTCCATTGTATAGTAAAACTCAACATAAACTTACCATAAAAGCATAACAGTTTCATTAGTACCTTTTAGCACTTGGGTTGTTGGGTATTTATTTTCTCTTGGTTTTTATCATAGGTGCATATGTGTCTAATCATCTTATTCTTTACATAACTCGTAGATAGTTTTGGGATCAGTGTTATTCCAAGATCCCAATAGATTCATGGGTAATTCATCGTTTCTCCTTGTGCTTTATCTCTCATTTATCGTTCTTGGAACTTGTGATTATTTGTTGGATCAAGAGAAAGATAAGATTGATGAGCTACCTGGTCAACCACCAAATGTTGATTTTTCTCAGTACTCTGGTTATGTGACTGTGAATCAACAATCTGGGAGGGCATTGTTTTATTGGTTGACCGAGTCACCTACAAATCGTGATCCAAAATCAAGACCACTCTTGTTATGGCTCAATGGTGGGCCTGGTTGTTCTTCAGTAGCTTATGGTGCTGCTGAAGAGATTGGTCCTTTACATATAAATTCCGACGGGAAGACGCTTTTCATCAACCCGTATTCTTGGAACAAGTGTATGAACACCAACACTTTTTCGTGTTAATTTCATCAATTGTATTACTAAAATGTGTAATTGATCTCGATTCTTTAATCTGTCAGTGGCAAATTTGCTATTTCTCGAATCGCCAGCAGGAGTTGGCTATTCATATACGAACACCACATCAGATTTGTACACAGCTGGTGATGCAAGAACAGGTAAAAATCCAATCGAATCTTTCCAAAAAGTTTCCCCCTTTCCGAGTTCGTCGATTTTGACTTTCTTTTGATGTTGGTTGTAAATTTGTAGCTGAAGATTCGTATGCTTTCCTTCTCAATTGGTTCGAAAGATTCCCTCAATACAAGCACCGTGATTTTTACATCGCCGGAGAAAGTTACGCAGGTTCGCATCCTCTCTCTTACAACATTTCCGTCTGCTAAAATGTTGTAAATCACCTTCGTTCATCTAATTTCAGGTCATTATGTTCCTCAATTGTCCCAAATCATTTACGAACGAAACAAAGGAGTGAAGAATCCAGTCATCAACTTCAAGGGTTTCATGGTAGTAAACACAATCATCAAAACCAATGATTATACCACAATCTTCCCTAATTTCCAATTTCTGATCTTTCTTCATAGGTCGGAAATGCAGTTACAGACGATTACAATGATTACGTTGGTACATTCGAGTACTGGTGGACCCACGGTTTGATTTCAGATTCAACTTATAAGTCTCTACAAACAACATGTGAAGGAGGGTCCTCTGAGCATCCACCAATCGCCTGCATTAGGGCTCTAAATACCGCCGAATTAGAACAAGGAAACATCGATCCGTATAGCATTTATACAAAGCCCTGCAATTACTCTTCATCATTAAAACGTAGAGGACGTTACGTAAGTTAATTTATACCTAATTTTCCGTGTAATGACCCATTAAACTCTCAAATAATGAAGTACATTCATCTCCATCAATGAACAGCCATGGATGCGTGGAGCATATGATCCATGCACCGAGAAATATTCAAACGAGTACTTCAATCTCCCTGAAGTTCAAAAGGCCTTTCATGCCAACATCACTAAAGTTTCATATCCATGGAAAACATGCAGGTAGATTGTTTACTATATTGATAAAAATCGTAAAGTAGGTATCAATTTCCTGTAATTTATGATTATTCGTTAATTACAGTGATATTATTGGGTCATATTGGGGAGATTCTCCACTTTCAATGCTTCCCATCTACAAGGAACTCATAGCTGCTGGTTTACGTGTATGGGTGTTCAGGTAAACTACAATAACTTGTGTACTTTTCCCCAATAACATAACGTCTGTATCAAATTAAAAATAATATAAAATTGTGGTTTTCCGTTTTCGTTTACAGTGGTGATACGGATTCAGTCGTGCCCATAACTGCAACAAGATATTCACTTGATGCGTTAAAGCTTTCAACCATTGCTAATTGGTATCCGTGGTATGATAATGGAAAGGTAACAAGTTAAAATGGTTTTATTATTTTTTTAACTTTAAATTTTGCATATTATGTGGTTATGTTAATAAGAATATGAATATATATATATATTTATATATATATATATATATATATATATATATATATATATATATATATATATATATATATATATATTTTTGGTTTTAGGTTGCGGGGTGGAGCCAAATATACGAAGGACTGACGTTTGTGACAGTGACAGGTGCAGGACATGAAGTGCCGTTGCATAGGCCTAGGCAAGCTTTTATACTACTGAGGTCATTTTTGGAAAATAAACCAATGCAAAGAAGCTTAAACTCTATTTGGGTTTGATTTAATAAGTAAAATATTGTTATTATGTGGCGTGGGGTTGTGAGAAAAGAAAGAAAATAAGGAGATACCCCATTCTTTATTCTTGCTTCTGATTGATTAGCATTTCTTTTTAAGCTCCATAATTAATCATTGTTAGATGTGGCGAACCAAAGAGAACATTGTCACATTGATTATTGTTGATTTCTTATACGTAACTTTGAGCTTTGTAATTGTAATTTTTATATATAAACTATAAACTATATATAATATATACGGATTTTACGTTATTGTTATCTGATTGATTGTTGACTGTTGAGAATATATATTTAGGTTCATATTTGGTAAAGAAAAAAAAAATCATGCAGCCCTTGAATGACTATTCAATAACATTAAATGATCATTAAATAGCATTAAATAATAATTACGTTTCATAATTATTGTACGTAGGCTGTTCAAACTCTTTTATAACTGGCCACCTAACTTTCATTTTCAATGAAAAGTTGTGGATACCCCTTTGTGTTTTTTTTATTGAAACCCATCATCTGGTTTACAATTTCGGGTAACTATCACTAAATAACAAATTTCAGATTTTTTTTTTCGACCTAGATCACTCAACTTCAAAGGTTTGACAGTACTTAGAAGTTTTGTTTTTGTTTTTTTACCTAAATTTTATGAAAACCTCGAAATCTTTTAAGAGGCTTAATCACTCAATGACTCTCAACCACTCAAACTTTTGGTTGCTTGCATACATTTATGGTTATTTGTTTTGCGATAACTGTTTTAAACAAGCCTATAATTTTAGGTGGAATAATTGTGAAACTTGTTTATTATTTAATGATATCGACACAATATTTTAATCAAATAATCAATTTTCCATTAAACAGTTTAAAATTTGCATTAATATTGAAACAAATTAAACGTTAAGTGGTCAAATACTTCAATATCTTAACAGCCATGTTACTTAAGAGGCTTTGGAGCCGGACTAGGGTTTTGTGTTGATAGGACTAAGGAGATATACCGATAGAAAATATACCCCGATCCAAAAACAATTAACAAATTTCTTTGAATCCAAAAACAATTAACAAATTTCTTTGAGAATTGAGTTCCGTAATATAGAAATAGAAGTACTCTAATACAAAAGTACTGTTAGACTATTCTCATTCATAATTAAAAGGGTTATTATGACTATAGCTCAACGATGTTTAATATATTGGTTTAAAAAATCTCTTGCAATTTTTTTTCGCCTTTTAGGGATACGTACTTGTGTTTTACCGTTTAAAAATGTCATTATCAAAAATATGAAGGAGTCACCCGATGAACCCCTTCCTAATCATCAATTTTGATATGCCACGTGGCATTTGGTCAACTTAAATGGTCTACGTGGCACCCATATATCATCCATGTTGATTTTTCCTTTCTATCTTTCACCAAAATTCAAATATTACAAAGAAATCCCGAATGAAATTAGAGGAGGGAACAAATCAATGATGAAATTGAAGAATCGAAAACGCTATAGACGTTGACATAATCATCGATTCGAAGTTCAAACAAAGAAGAGGGGCAACAAAATCCGCCAGATCGTCCGCCTTAAACAAGTCGTGCAACGTTGGCATCGCCACATTCCCTCTGGATCTAATGTCGTCTATGTTGGTGAAGAACGCCCCCGCTTCGTCATTCATACCCGTTTTCTAAACTTCGTCTCCTTACTCAACAAAGCGGATGAAGAGTTCGGCTTCCAGACCACCAGAGGACTCGTCCTCCCCTGTGATGTTGTTTTCTTCAAGGAGTTGTTGAACGTTCTAGAGAGAGACGAAATTGGATTCGGTGCGTTAGATTTGGATGATTTGTCGTAGATGTTTTCCGATTTCGCCTCCAATTCTTATTCTCTTTGTAAAATTTACAATTTTCGATGCTCATAGCTTCACTCCACTGCTGCAGAAAGCTAAAGTTTTTTTTTTCTCATTAGAGTATGTCAAAATAGGGCTTAGATTGCAATTTTATATGTTTAACTATTTAAGATTTTGGGCTAGTGTTAGGGTGTCCAGTTTTGTGTATACATGGTGGATGAAGTTGAATAGATGCATGAAGTGATCGAAGATGGACCCACACACCCTTCTTCATCTCGCTCCATCTAACCTGCAACTCGATTTAAGGTAAGAAGTATGGGTGAACCTAAGTTTATGTACTGCGACTCGAAGGAGAACAAGAGAGAAGGAAGGTGTGAGATCGATTGGAGAGGTGGAGATAAAGAAGAAAATTGCGATCGTTAGGACCCGGACCTACAAATCGATTCATAAGAGGAGGTTTCTAGAAGAAAAAAAAAAAACTCATCTTTGCCCATCTTTGCCAAAAAAAATAGATACCCCAAATTACGATCACGAACTTAAAATATAAAAATACATATACAAAATTGAAAATTACATAATTACCCATCTTTGCAAAAAAAAAATCCTTATATGCTTGATTAAACATTTTTAAAAACGCTATGAGTTTCTCTATTATGAAATTTGTACCCTATTGTTCATGTGTATAGATAGGTCTATAATTCGATTCATATAATATTGAAAATGTTGTTCATCATATTCAGTAGAGGTTTTTTGTTGTGAGGTTGTTGGCATGCTATTTTGAAATTTTTGTGGATCATACTTGTGAATGTATGTGTGTTGTTCACCCTAGGGATGATATTTAAAACCGAAAAATCGGACCTGAACCGGAATCGGGACCGTTAGAATCAGAATATATAGAACTTGTTTCAGTCCTGGGTTTATAGAACTAATAAACTTTGACTTATATGCTTGCACTATTTACTCATCAAATCATGCACAACAATACATTTTGTAACATCAAGTTACTGATGCGTTAAAGTATCATCAATGCACAACCAACTTGTAAACAACAACTCACATATCTCTGTTTAAAGACTATAAAATATTATCGTCTCAGAATTACTCGTGATAAATTACATGAAGTAATTCTCTGAGTGTGAGTTAATCCAAAACTTAAATCTCCATTTCAAAGTACTCATAAATATTGAAGCAACACTGTTGTCATGTCCTAAACTCTTTAGATAATCTACAATCTAATTCATGATAGTCTTGATTCACTACTTACTTCCAAAAGTATGATCGATTGTGGACGTTTTAGCATTCTAGTTATTTGGGAAGTAAAACATGCAAAATGAAACACAAAATAAATAATAGACAAAAGGTATTAATCCAACTCATAAATAAATCTCCATTATTTAATCACCAAAAGTCAATTACATTTATTTTGTTACAAGTTTCAAAACTAACTATCTAACTACTACAACTAATATCATCCTTCAGACCAATGCTCTTAGCATGCTGATCGTGCTTGGCCCTACTCAGACCATTTGTGAGGGGATCTACAGGATTCTCTTCTAACGATACCCTCTTTACCACGAGATGACCTTTTTCTACTCTATGTCTAATGAAATGGTATTTTCTGTCGATATGTCTTGATCTGTCATGATCTCTTGGTTCTTTTGTTAAGGTAACCGCCCCTTCATTATCATAAAAAATCTCCATTGACTCCTTGATGGCTGGAACAATTCCAAGGTATCCGATAAAGTTATTCAACCAAATAGTCTCCTTCGATGCTTCGCTTGCCGCTATGTACTCTGATTCATAAGTAGAATCATCCACCGTCTCCTGTTTGGAACTTTTCTAGGTTATCGCTCCTCCATTAAGGGTAAATACCTAGCCAGATTGAGAACGGAAGTTGTCTCTATCTGTCTAAAAGTTGGTGTCACTATACCAAGTTACTCTTAAGTTATCTCTACCACCAAGGATAAAGACTTAGTCATTAATTCTTCACAGATACTTAAGAATATTCTTAATTGTTATCCAGTGAACCCTACCTAGATCTCCCTGATAACGACTGACCATGCTCAAAGCAAAATCCAAATTAGGGCGAGCACATGTCATAGCATACATGATAGATCCAATGGCAGAAGCATATAGAACTCTACTCATTTCTGCTATCTCTGGATCAGTACTCAGGCTTTGAGTCTTACTCGGTTTGGTATTACTATATATAGGCATTTCTCCTTTCTTGGAATTTTCCATACTATAACGCTTTAGTACCTTTTCCAAGTATGTACTTTGACTAAGTCCAATTAGTCTTTTACTCCTGTCTCTCAAAATCCTTATTCCCAGAATATAAGCAGCCTCTCCCAAATCCTTCATAGCGAAACACTTTCCATGTCAAGACTTAACCTCTTGCAAAGTCGGAATGTTGTTTCCTATAAGAAATATGTCATGAACATACAAAACTAGGAAGGTTACCATACTCCTACTAGCTTTGACATATACACAATATTCATCTTCACTACTAGAGAAACCAAACTATTTGACTTTCTCGTCAAAATAAAGATTCCATCTGTGAGAAGCTTGTTTCAATCCATAGATTGATTTTTCAAGCATACGCACTCTATTTCGATACTTTCCATCCACAAAACCTTCTGGCTGGCTCATGTAAACATCCTCAACCAACTTTCCATTAAGGAAAGCGGTTTTTACATTTATCTGCCAAATTTCATAGTCATGAAACGCAGTTATGGCTAGCATTACCCTAATAGATTTTATCTTAGGCTCCAATGAGAAGGTTTCATCATACTCAACCCGTGGGGTTTGAGTAAAGCTCTTCACAACCAATCGAGTCTTAAAGGTGTGTACCTTTCCATCTATGTCAGTCTTCTTTTTAAAGATCCATTTGTACCGAACTGTCTTGCGACCTCGTACATTATCAATCAAATTCACAACTTCAATGACATGTTTAATCTCAATTATGCTCTTCCATTTGTGACTGGGATACCGAGGATCACAAACAATATGTGAATAACCATGCAAATTAACTTGTTACTCTCAATGTCTTTTATCATCTCATTTAATGTGTCGTTTAGCCATACACGCTCCATTAATCAATGATAATTTTCGAGACACCCATTCCCACTCTTTACATGTCCCAATTAGTGTGTCGGATAACTACATGTGCTCCACTAATGACTCATAAATTGCAATGTGTAATTTCATGGGTTAGCATACAAGTTCACATTTTTCCTAAAGTAACTAAGATTGAGAATTTTATAAAATATATTTAGTTAATTTATAATTCATTATACTTATTAATGAGGATTAGGTTTTCCTATCGAACCCGTTCAGCTAACGACCCTCCACCAATCAAGGAAGTGGTGGGTGAGAGTGTAACATCCATAAAATTCATGCAAATTTAAAAATTTTCAATCTTTCAAAAACACCATTTAATTACAAAATGTTTTCAAAATAGTTTCATATCAGAGTATCCCAAAAATCAAAAACATAAAATGCGAGGAGGTGCACGATGAAGCCTTCGCCTTCCCGCGATCATCCGAAGTACCTGAAACAAAATCCAAAACTATGATCCTGAAGCTTAATGAGTTCCCCCAAAATACCAACACCGTACAAATCATAACCATATCATAGCAAGTAAATAACATGTATATAGAGTCTACAGTAAGACGTGATTGCCCTCAACATGCCTGTAGTCTATCTGGCCCACTATCATAACCTTCAACATGTTTGGTCCGCCCACCCGGGCCTTCAGCCTGTCTGGACCGTTTTTCGGGCCTTTGGCCTAAATGATATGCCCTAATGGGTCTGCAGTCTTTCCGGTCCGCCATGGGTCTATTAGCCTTCAACACAAAGCAGGTCATGCCTCAACCCAACCCCACATATACAATCAATACATAAATATCACAAGCTAGCTAGCATGTACAAACATTCAAACCGACCTAACAATTCATTAATTATAGCATCATCCTATATACCAGGATATCGACCTAACAAGTCATTAAAATATCATCATCCCATATGTCAGGATACCGACCTAACATGTCACTAAGCATATCATAATGCAATAACCAGGATAACAATCCAAAAAGGGTCGGCATTGGTGCCTTTGACCCTGCTAGTATAGTGAGGAAAACTCATCTCACAATCAAGAAGATCTATCTCCCACTCTCGGCTCCAAACTCAATTACCAGTAACCATCATATACTGATTCCGTTAAAATCCCAAATTGCCAAAATACCCTCAGAAGTCAAACTTGGTCAAAGTCAAAGTCAACGGTCAAGGTCAACAATCCATGCTGACCAAACTCATCGAGTGCACCTTACAGACTCGTTAAGTTCCTTCGGAACTCAGAAGATCGAGAAAACCCCAGTCAACTCGCCGAGTTACCAGACAACTCGTTGAGTCCATGCAACATCCAGAACCTCGGGAAAAACCCTAACCAACTCATCGAGTTATCTCACTAACTCGTCGAGTTCATACAAAATCCAGAAAGCGGGAAACCCTCATTCAACTCGTCGAGTTGACTATGCAAATCGTCGAGTTCCTTCAGTCCTTTCCTTATTCGAATGCTTTTAAGTGAAACCAAGGCTCCAAACAGTAGATCTAGCCTCCTAGGGTGTAGTTACCACGTAGTGTTGCTAACTTTACGCGCATGCAAGGCTTCAAGAAGCTAAACCACTCAAAACTAGCCTTAGGATGAGGTTTAGGGCATGGAAAAGGGATAGGGCTAGATAAAGTCGAGAACTTTATGTTCATGAGGGCCTAGAGGAGTTCAGATCCGAGACCATGTTCTCATGACAAGCTCAAACTCGAGGATGACCGTATTTTGCACTAAAAATGCCCATATACTTACATAAGAAGAGATTTAAGGAATGGAAAGTCAATGTAAAGACTTTTTACCTCCAAAAGAATGCCAAAACGATGTAGATGTTGGATCCACAAGCCCCTCCTCATTCCAAGCTTCCAAATCTTCAAGTCTCTTCAAGAAATGTACCAAACAC